CACACACTCTCTCTCACACACACACACACACTCTCTCACACACACACACCTTAGAGCTCCCAGAGGGTGTGCACACAGGAAGTTATAATAGCAGATGTCTTGGTTTCCAGTGACATTTACAACCTGTCAGAAAACACATTATAATAGTCATCGGGGAGACAGAACACACATGACGTATACTGTACATAAATACATGCATAAACAGAGATTTCATACCGTCTGATAGGTGATAACCAGCTGAATGACAGGAAGAGCATAAAACACGCCGATCGTAGCAATGTTCCTGCAGTGAAAACACACACACAGCACAGTCACCGGAGGTATAAAACAAACACACACTTCCTGTCCTGACCCGTGTGTTTGAGGCTCACCAGAAGTAGATCTGGTATTTCTTGCTGAGGATGCGATTGTCTTTACGAGCGAGATCAGAGACGCACAGGAACTTCTGTGAAGGACAGAGATCACAGTCAGTAAATACACAGTTACAGTTCTCGTTGTTACAGTTGTGTTCTTCACTGGTTCGAGCACCTTCGTACGGACGATGTTTTTGTCCGAGTCGATGTCGGCCAGCGTGTCGTAATCGTCTTCTTCTACTGAACTCAGAGACTCGTGGCGACTGCGGCCGACACTCTCTAAGGAACGCTCTAGAACACAGAAAATACAACGCTGATCAGCAGGCTTCAGATTTAGATCATCATGACTTCAATGAATTCCTGAAATACACGCTGACATCATGCATTAGAAATTTTTCAGCAAATAGGGCACTTGATTTATATAACTTGTATTTATGCATTTAATAGAAGTTTTTAAAGGGGTCATATGGTGATTATGGTAAGGGGCGTTACATTTCAGACAAGTGCTTGCGGTTTTCGGCCAATCACAATGCACTGGGTTAGCTGGCCAATCAGAGCAGACTGTGCTTGTCGGAAGGCGGGACTTTGTAGAAAACGAAGCGTTTGAGAGAGGCGGGGCATAGAGGACCTACAATAATGTACAGTATTTGAAAAATAATGTGTTTTTTGAACATTAAAGCATGTCAACATATTCTGTTACACCAAATACACAAAATAATGATCTTTAAAAAAGCATCATATGACCCCTTTAATCCAAATTCTCATTAACTCGTACTCATTTAAATAAAAATCAAAGCAAATACAATTAGAGACACAATAATTTCCGATGTTTTTCAGGACATCGGGCCAATATTTGTGGGATTCTGATTTTGGATTGGGTGGGATTTCATATGGAGGTGCTGATTGGCTGATTTATAAAGTGGGCGTGTCACCAGTGCGGATGGCTACATGATGTGCTGCGATTATTCGCCGTTTAAAAGTCTCCGATCCTAAGTGGTAAAAACACACCAATCAGAAAGCAGAGCACATCAGACAGCCAATGAGAGGGCAGAGAACTAACAACATGAGCATGAATATATTCTGTGTGTGTGTGTGTGTGTGTACCCATGTATCCGTAGTTCCCATCGGCCGATACTAAACTGTCAGTAACAGCTTCAGAGCTCAATGTGCTGCCGTTATCAGCTAGAGAAACAGACAGACAGATTAAAACACATCCGATGCAGAAATCAATCCGAATGAAAACTTTCACAAACTCACCAAATGAGCCATATTCATACGGAGACACTGGAGCCTTTCCTGAAACACACACAGTGGGTTAGACAGATGCTCGTGTGTGTGTGTGTGGAGATGTGCTTCATCTAAATCTTCAGTACTGAATATCAAACACAGTTCAGTTACTTACAGGAGTGAGTGTGTGTGTGTGTGTGTGTGTGGAGATGTGCTTCATCTAAATCTTCAGTACTGAATATCAAACACAGTTCAGTTACTTACAGGAGTGAGTGTGTGTGTGTGTGTGTGTGTGGAGATGTGCTTCATCTAAATCTTCAGTACTGAATATCAAACACAGTTCAGTTACTTACAGGAGTGAGTGTGTGTGTGTGTGTGTGTGTGTGGAGATGTGCTTCATCTAAATCTTCAGTACTGAATATCAAACACAGTTCAGTTACTTACAGGAGTGAGTGTGTGTGTGTGTGTGTGTGTGTGGAGATGTGCTTCATCTAAATCTTCAGTACTGAATATCAAACACAGTTCAGTTACTTACAGGAGTGAGTGTGTGTGTGTGTGTGTGTGTGTGGAGATGTGCTTCATCTAAATCTTCAGTACTGAATATCAAACACAGTTCAGTTACTTACAGGAGTGAGTGTGTGTGTGTGTGTGTGTGTGTGGAGATGTGCTTCATCTAAATCTTCAGTACTGAATATCAAACACAGTTCAGTTACTTACAGGAGTGAGTGTGTGTGTGTGTGTGTGTGTGTGGAGATGTGCTTCATCTAAATCTTCAGTACTGAATATCAAACACAGTTCAGTTACTTACAGGAGTGAGTGTGTGTGTGTGTGTGTGTGTGTGGAGATGTGCTTCATCTAAATCTTCAGTACTGAATATCAAACACAGTTCAGTTACTTACAGGAGTGAGTGTGTGTGTGTGTGTGTGTGTGTGGAGATGTGCTTCATCTAAATCTTCAGTACTGAATATCAAACACAGTTCAGTTACTTACAGGAGTGAGTGTGTGTGTGTGTGTGTGTGTGTGGAGATGTGCTTCATCTAAATCTTCAGTACTGAATATCAAACACAGTTCAGTTACTTACAGGAGTGAGTGTGTGTGTGTGTGTGTGTGTGTGGAGATGTGCTTCATCTAAATCTTCAGTACTGAATATCAAACACAGTTCAGTTACTTACAGGAGTGAGTGTGTGTGTGTGTGTGTGTGTGTGGAGATGTGCTTCATCTAAATCTTCAGTACTGAATATCAAACACAGTTCAGTTACTTACAGGAGTGAGTGTGTGTGTGTGTGTGTGTGTGTGGAGATGTGCTTCATCTAAATCTTCAGTACTGAATATCAAACACAGTTCAGTTACTTACAGGAGTGAGTGTGTGTGTGTGTGTGTGTGTGTGGAGATGTGCTTCATCTAAATCTTCAGTACTGAATATCAAACACAGTTCAGTTACTTACAGGAGTGAGTGTGTGTGTGTGTGTGTGTGTGTGGAGATGTGCTTCATCTAAATCTTCAGTACTGAATATCAAACACAGTTCAGTTACTTACAGGAGTGAGTGTGTGTGTGTGTGTGTGTGTGTGGAGATGTGCTTCATCTAAATCTTCAGTACTGAATATCAAACACAGTTCAGTTACTTACAGGAGTGAGTGTGTGTGTGTGTGTGTGTGTGTGGAGATGTGCTTCATCTAAATCTTCAGTACTGAATATCAAACACAGTTCAGTTACTTACAGGAGTGAGTGTGTGTGTGTGTGTGTGTGTGTGGAGATGTGCTTCATCTAAATCTTCAGTACTGAATATCAAACACAGTTCAGTTACTTACAGGAGTGAGTGTGTGTGTGTGTGTGTGTGTGTGGAGATGTGCTTCATCTAAATCTTCAGTACTGAATATCAAACACAGTTCAGTTACTTACAGGAGTGAGTGTGTGTGTGTGTGTGTGTGTGTGGAGATGTGCTTCATCTAAATCTTCAGTACTGAATATCAAACACAGTTCAGTTACTTACAGGAGTGAGTGTGTGTGTGTGTGTGTGTGTGTGGAGATGTGCTTCATCTAAATCTTCAGTACTGAATATCAAACACAGTTCAGTTACTTACAGGAGTGAGTGTGTGTGTGTGTGTGTGTGTGTGGAGATGTGCTTCATCTAAATCTTCAGTACTGAATATCAAACACAGTTCAGTTACTTACAGGAGTGAGTGTGTGTGTGTGTGTGTGTGTGTGGAGATGTGCTTCATCTAAATCTTCAGTACTGAATATCAAACACAGTTCAGTTACTTACAGGAGTGAGTGTGTGTGTGTGTGTGTGTGTGTGGAGATGTGCTTCATCTAAATCTTCAGTACTGAATATCAAACACAGTTCAGTTACTTACAGGAGTGAGTGTGTGTGTGTGTGTGTGTGTGTGGAGATGTGCTTCATCTAAATCTTCAGTACTGAATATCAAACACAGTTCAGTTACTTACAGGAGTGAGTGTGTGTGTGTGTGTGTGTGTGTGGAGATGTGCTTCATCTAAATCTTCAGTACTGAATATCAAACACAGTTCAGTTACTTACAGGAGTGAGTGTGTGTGTGTGTGTGTGTGTGTGGAGATGTGCTTCATCTAAATCTTCAGTACTGAATATCAAACACAGTTCAGTTACTTACAGGAGTGAGTGTGTGTGTGTGTGTGTGTGTGTGGAGATGTGCTTCATCTAAATCTTCAGTACTGAATATCAAACACAGTTCAGTTACTTACAGGAGTGAGTGTGTGTGTGTGTGTGTGTGTGTGGAGATGTGCTTCATCTAAATCTTCAGTACTGAATATCAAACACAGTTCAGTTACTTACAGGAGTGAGTGTGTGTGTGTGTGTGTGTGTGTGGAGATGTGCTTCATCTAAATCTTCAGTACTGAATATCAAACACAGTTCAGTTACTTACAGGAGTGAGTGTGTGTGTGTGTGTGTGTGTGTGGAGATGTGCTTCATCTAAATCTTCAGTACTGAATATCAAACACAGTTCAGTTACTTACAGGAGTGAGTGTGTGTGTGTGTGTGTGTGTGTGGAGATGTGCTTCATCTAAATCTTCAGTACTGAATATCAAACACAGTTCAGTTACTTACAGGAGTGAGTGTGTGTGTGTGTGTGTGTGTGTGGAGATGTGCTTCATCTAAATCTTCAGTACTGAATATCAAACACAGTTCAGTTACTTACAGGAGTGAGTGTGTGTGTGTGTGTGTGTGTGTGGAGATGTGCTTCATCTAAATCTTCAGTACTGAATATCAAACACAGTTCAGTTACTTACAGGAGTGAGTGTGTGTGTGTGTGTGTGTGTGTGGAGATGTGCTTCATCTAAATCTTCAGTACTGAATATCAAACACAGTTCAGTTACTTACAGGAGTGAGTGTGTGTGTGTGTGTGTGTGTGTGGAGATGTGCTTCATCTAAATCTTCAGTACTGAATATCAAACACAGTTCAGTTACTTACAGGAGTGAGTGTGTGTGTGTGTGTGTGTGTGTGGAGATGTGCTTCATCTAAATCTTCAGTACTGAATATCAAACACAGTTCAGTTACTTACAGGAGTGAGTGTGTGTGTGTGTGTGTGTGTGTGGAGATGTGCTTCATCTAAATCTTCAGTACTGAATATCAAACACAGTTCAGTTACTTACAGGAGTGAGTGTGTGTGTGTGTGTGTGTGTGTGGAGATGTGCTTCATCTAAATCTTCAGTACTGAATATCAAACACAGTTCAGTTACTTACAGGAGTGAGTGTGTGTGTGTGTGTGTGTGTGTGGAGATGTGCTTCATCTAAATCTTCAGTACTGAATATCAAACACAGTTCAGTTACTTACAGGAGTGAGTGTGTGTGTGTGTGTGTGTGTGTGGAGATGTGCTTCATCTAAATCTTCAGTACTGAATATCAAACACAGTTCAGTTACTTACAGGAGTGAGTGTGTGTGTGTGTGTGTGTGTGTGGAGATGTGCTTCATCTAAATCTTCAGTACTGAATATCAAACACAGTTCAGTTACTTACAGGAGTGAGTGTGTGTGTGTGTGTGTGTGTGTGGAGATGTGCTTCATCTAAATCTTCAGTACTGAATATCAAACACAGTTCAGTTACTTACAGGAGTGAGTGTGTGTGTGTGTGTGTGTGTGTGGAGATGTGCTTCATCTAAATCTTCAGTACTGAATATCAAACACAGTTCAGTTACTTACAGGAGTGAGTGTGTGTGTGTGTGTGTGTGTGTGGAGATGTGCTTCATCTAAATCTTCAGTACTGAATATCAAACACAGTTCAGTTACTTACAGGAGTGAGTGTGTGTGTGTGTGTGTGTGTGTGGAGATGTGCTTCATCTAAATCTTCAGTACTGAATATCAAACACAGTTCAGTTACTTACAGGAGTGAGTGTGTGTGTGTGTGTGTGTGTGTGGAGATGTGCTTCATCTAAATCTTCAGTACTGAATATCAAACACAGTTCAGTTACTTACAGGAGTGAGTGTGTGTGTGTGTGTGTGTGTGTGGAGATGTGCTTCATCTAAATCTTCAGTACTGAATATCAAACACAGTTCAGTTACTTACAGGAGTGAGTGTGTGTGTGTGTGTGTGTGTGTGGAGATGTGCTTCATCTAAATCTTCAGTACTGAATATCAAACACAGTTCAGTTACTTACAGGAGTGACATTTACACGAGATCCACACAGAACTGATCTGAACAGCTAGTAGTTAATGGTTTTTATTATTTCAAACACTGCTGGCATTCATGTTTCTTTCTATAGAGATCACTAGATCATTCAGCAGTCACTCCTGCATGTAAATGAGGTCGTCATGCTCAAAAGTGAAACGGTTCACTAAGCACCTCTAAACAGGAGTGTGTTAGTGTTTGGGTTAGTTTACAGCAGTGATGTCACAACTACAGATGTGCACAGATAGAGAGAGCGTTTGTGAGCCAATGAAAGCAGGAAGTGTCGTATCTTGTGCACAAACACACTTGTTGTGCAAGACAGCGTGCTAATAAATCAGTGTGTCAGTAAAACACACACACACACAAGTCTTACCCAAGAGAGACGCTAAACACACACAAAGATGGCGAAAAGAGAATAGAAAATAAAAGAATAAACATTTTGATAAAGTCACTCATTACATTCAAGACATTAATAATTCTGTGATCCAGATTAGTCCATAAATTACAGCTAACACTCCTACAGGTGTGTGTTCGGTTACCTGTCTCTGCAGGTGAGGTGTCGGCGTTCAGAAGCCACTCCCTCTTCCTGTTCATCCTGAGAAAGACAGAATGTGATTGGCTGTCACTGAATCTTCAAACATCATGAAAACCTTCAACTACTGCATTTATTTGGTGTCACTGACATCGTGTTTCAGGTTCAGAGCAGCGTCCGTGTCTTTATCATTTCAAACACAGTGTCGTACCTCTTATTCTCCACACACGCCACGAGAAACGTGAGCAGATAGAAGGACAGGAAGATCCCCAGGCAGAAGAGCATCCCCATCACATACACCTCCGCTAGAGAGCAGACAGAATGAACGAATGAACTGATGGACGCATGAATGAAGGACTGAGTGAATGTGTAGTGCTGCTCACAGTTAATGGCAGGAGAAACAATCACATCCAGAGTTTTACTGCGATTCCCAGCATCTAGCAGCTCATCTGAGGAAACACACACAATCACATCAAACATGGATTCTGATTGGCTGCTGTACAATAACTGTGCTCTGATTGGCTGCAGTAGAGTAACAGTGTGCTCTGATTGGCTGCTGTAGAGTAACAGTGTGCTCTGATTGGCTGCTGTAGAGTAACAGTGTGCTCTGATTGGCTGCTGTAGAGTAACAGTGTGCTCTGATTGGCTGCAGTAGACTAACCGTGTGCTCTGATTGGCTGCAGTAGAGTAACCGTGTGCTCTGATTGGCTGCAGTAGAGTAACGCTGTGCTCTGATTGGCTGCAGTAGAGTAACCCTGTGCTCTGATTGGCTGCAGTAGAGTAACCCTGTCCTCTGATTGGCTGCAGTAGACTAACCGTGTGCTCTGATTGGCTGCAGTAGAGTAACCCTGTGCTCTGATTGGCTGCAGTAGAGTAACGCTGTGCTCTGATTGGTTGCAGGAGAGTAACTGTGTGCTCTGATTGGCTGCTGTAGAGTAACAGTGTGCTCTGATTGGCTGCAGTAGAGTAACCCTGTGCTCTGATTGGCTGCAGTAGAGTAACAGTGTGCTCTGATTGGCTGCAATAGAGTAACCCTGTGCTCTGATTGGCTTAGAGTAACAGTGTGCTCTGATTGGCTGCAGCAGAGTAACGCTGTGCTCTGATTGGTTGTACTAACCAGGTAAGAGCGGGTAGAATCGCAGTGGTCCTCCGCACGCCTCGTCTTCAGTCTTCACCACCACCACCACATAGAAACTGTTACTGGGGAAATCCTTCCTCTGAAACACACGTATCACACATCCTCACACAATAATAATCACACTGCACTGATTCTGTGTGCTGGTGTGACTGTCCCCGTCAATCAAACGGATACATAAACATATTTCAACAATGTTTTATTAAATATGCAATTAGACACTGAATGCGAGATAAAATTCGCTGTTTTACTAAAAAGCGGCAAACACTACAGTCATGTGCCTTTTCTGAATATCCTGATTACAGTACTAAACACAAAATGGTTTCAGTGATGGTTAGGTGACAAAAAATGTCATTAGCTTAGTTTAAAAACAGTTATGTCAATGGAAAGTCCTTGTAATGATAGAAGTGTGTGTGTGTGTGTTACCTGCACTGTGATGGCAGCTGTGGTGGTCATAGTCTGATACATTCCAATAAACGCCACATTATTATCCAGATCATAAACCGGACACTAGACAGACCGAGAGACAGACAGATATCACCACATACACATCTGACTGACTCTGACATACGTGTGTGTGTGTGTGTGAGAGAGAGAGTGTGTGTGTGTGAGAGAGAGAGAGTGTGTGTGTGTGAGTGTGAGAGAGTGTGTGTGTGAGAGTGTGTGTGTGAGAGAGTGAGTGAGAGAGTGTGTGTGTGAGAGAGTGTGTGTGAGTGTGTGTGTGAGAGTGTGAGTGTGTGTGAGAGAGAGTGTGTGTGTGTGTGTGAGAGAGAGAGAGAGAGAGTGTGTGTGTTTCTCACCTGGATGTCCTGTATTGACATGACTGAGCAGGGGAAGTTCTTCTGTGAGTTCACCTTCACGATCACTGTGTCCACACCCTCAGGGAACACATACTTAAAGAACTACACACACACACACACACACACACACACAGTCAGCACTGCAGGAGATCTGTGTGTGTTTGTGAGTGTAGAAACAATATAAAAATAAATGAAGTGTTTTAAAATTGTAACAATGCAGAGTAGTATATCGGTTAGTGTTATAGTATTTATAATGAGCTGTATATAAAAATAACAATAGAAGTCTATGTAATGTCCACATTTATAGAGATAAGTAAATGTTTGTTTGTGTGTGTGTCATCTGACAACCCACATTATTACATTTATATTAAATATTGAATTTGTCAAAAATACATTTCTTCAAACTCGTCTAAATCTTTTCACAGCATATTTAGGTGATCAAATCGTGACGCGGTCGTGATGTGATGTTGGTCGTTTGGATAAATTCACTCGCATGAGCAAATTTAATGGCAAAGCAGGCAGTGTCATGATGTATTGAAACAAATAACTTGCGTTCTAAGCTGTATTTTGGCAGTGCAGGTGGTTTTTGAAATGAATCTGAGTGTTTGACATTGAGGCCATGCACTGAGGGTGACAGCGACCCCTGCTGGTCACAAGCAGAGTTCAGCTATCCTGTGATTACTATAGCTCACCCAACGAAATGATGATTCTGCCATCATTTACCCACCCTCTCTTTCTTCAGTGGAACACAAAAGAAGATATTTTGAAGAATGTCTCTGTGTTTTCTGGAAATACAATGGACCTTTTCCTTGTTTTTGTTTTTTTCAATAAAAAAGGGAAATAATTCTCTCCTTTTTGGTTGATCTATGCCTGTAAGTGGCTTGTATGTGCCACTGCTGTGTCTAGCCCTGTATTCACATTTATCATGATGTCTCTGTCATTACAGTGAACTACACGCATCACACTGATGATCTCATCAACAGGCCTCCAGCTTTACTTCAGCAGCTTTAGCTGTTACTCAGTTCCTTCAGAAGCAGGATGTCAAACACACACACCTGTTTGCTCTCTCACACACACACACACACACACACACACCTGTTTGCTCTCTCACACACACACACACACACACACACCTGTCCGGCGCTGAGCTCCTCTAGCAGGGAGTGTGTGACGCTGCAGGACTGAGATCAGAGGATGTGCATCAATGACTGCTCTGAGATCAGCTCTGCAGCGTCTCTAACACTCACTGACACTGATCTGTGGTGGAGGAATCTGATCTGAAATCAGTGCTGTGCATCTGAGAAGATAAAGGTAAACCCTTGAAGAAAACTCCAGTCCTCAGTGAGTGAATGTGTGTGTGTGTGTGTGTGTACCTGTTTTTCTATTCTGGTGGGGACTTAAACCTGAATACACACAGACTCATGGGGACTC